TTGAATAGAAGTCAGGATATTTATATTTTGCAATTGAACGAGCCTTGAGAGTCCTTGGAAACTGAAAATTTACATTTTAAAGTAAAATCCACACAGAAATGTGTTTTCAAATGTACGTAACACATGCTGAACTAAAAAACAAAAATTGCCAGACCGGCGGAAAAACCCCTCTTACTAACCCCCCCCCCAAAAAAAAATCCTCTTTGTAAAACTAAAGGACTTTGTTATCTTCCCCCCAGACAGGGTCCCTAGTACCAAGGACTGCAGGTCGATGTCTTCAATTTCATTATTTCGATGAACGCCTGATTTCACCCAGATGCCTCACATATTAATTTTTTTTTTTATGGCCATGATACATGTACCCAGATTGAATCTCTCCCTTTGTTCACCTGACACAGGGGCCCACGTCCTCTGGAAATTTAAAGAGGCCAAGGCGTCTGTGAAGGAAATGAATTTTCTTAGACATCCTAATTGCAGCGAGGAATTCATTCATTATGCTATCAGTTTTTTTTATACCTTGTGGGTTTTCACTCTTCTGACGCACAAGAAAGTTTTGACACAGATCTGACCAGGCTTTGCCTTTTTCTCAAGTGAAATCACCATTATACTCTGATCAAATGTGTCAGTCAAATGACTTTGAATTATTATCAGGTTCAACTAAAATATCTGTGCTTTTTTTCAGTCTTGGCATTGCAGTAGCACACAAGAAAAAACAAATATCACACTGTGGATGGACACAAAACCCGTGAATTAATTCACGAAATGACGCAACTAAACAGTAAAAACGTTTTTAAATTAAAACAAATTTTTTTTAGTAGAAGCTACTTGAATGACTTGAATAAATGGTTATCAAATGGTTTCACAGTTTATTTATTACACAATTGAAAAGCGACTGTTTTTTTTTTCTTCACTGTCTTTTGAATTTAAGCTTACATTATTACATTATTTTAGCACACTTTATATTTATAATACTATAGCATTGAAAGGAATGTAAGCTAGATGACAGTTTGTCGTAGAAAAATTTGACATAGGACTTAACACAAAATATAACACACTTGGCTAATTAATTATCTTTCTTTAAAAAAAAAAGTTATTTCTGTTTTTAGAGACTTTGACTATTCTTACCTCCCATGGAAATGTCAAGAGTAACACTGGTCAAGAATAAAAACGGCTTAGCAACGAAAGCTGTCAAATTTTATGGAAAATAATGTGCTGAATCCAAATATGTTGTTAGTTTTCATCTATTAGGTCAGGTTATTGCAGAATTCCCATATTAAAATATTTTCAGGTATTCCAGATAGTCTAAGGGGAGGTAAGAATAATAGGCTCTATTTTTATACAAGGGGGGTAACCTTTACTTTTTCCATAAAGGCCATTAATCGATCCTGTTATATTTGCATAATGTCCTATATCACATTTTAAAATGACATATTGTCTTAGACTATAGACCCCTTTCATTCATACAGTTTATTGTTTACTCAAATAGCGACAGAAATTATGCAATCTAAAATTCGAAAGACAATGCAAGAAAGTTATACCAATGCTTATAACTTTTGTAATAAAGTCACTGAGAAACTTCAAAGGGAGGTAATTATATAATAATTATTTATCAAAACTAATATTAGCGTTTTCCATTGTTTAGTTGTGTCGTTTCGAGAATTAATTCTTGAATTTAGTGACCTCCCATAGCTTTCAGTGTTTTTCTTTTGTGCTACTACCGTATATAAACAGAAAAAGCAATTACCAAGCGTCAGTGATACAGATTAAGTTAAAAGAGACCATTTTACTTGGACCTGATATTTAAAAAGTCAAATTTGATGATATATTTGGACAGATGATGATTTCACTCGCGAAAAAGATGTTACGCAATGAGCTGAACTTAACAGCGTAAAATTGTATTTTTGATACTTATTTATCAGTATGAAATTTTAGGGGGTTAGGTTTTAATTTAAAAATCCTGACCTATTAGAGAAAATCTGTCACCAAATTCGGATTCTACGACCTAGATTTTATAAATATGAATATCATATTCACATGCCTAAGCCCGAAAAGTGAGTGAGATTTTTTAGGGTTATCATCGGCTATGTTTAAATGAAACAAAGAACCCCCCCCCCCCCACACCCCCCCCCCAAAAAAAATAAAAAAATAAAAATACAAATAAATAAATAAATTTTAACAAATAAATTGCGAAATATCGTAATAGTAATAGAAAACCTGACCTGATAAAAAAACAAAACAAACTAATACCAGATTCGGATTCTTCGACCCAAATTCCATATATGAAAACAAATATTCATATGCCGAAGCCCAAAATTTTTCTAAATTTTGTCGACCTGTGTAATTTATCTGCAATACACGTGCAAAACCTTGCCTGATTGACTAAAACGAATAACACATTTGGATTAAGTACGGTACATAAAATGCCCTTCAATGTGACTACTTTTGCTGTTAAGATTTTTTTTTTTTTTACGAAATCGTTGACCAGCATTATTTCCGAATTCATTCATTAAAAAAAAAAAATATTGTTACGAACGGAAAGTATCAAGTATCAAGTAATCTCCCTTGAACAGAACAAACACCACGAAAATATAACTAGTTATGTCCCTTCCCATCTGTCTCATTATTCTGATAAAAAAAGACAGTTATGTCCCTTGCTCAAGGGATGTAAGTGGGAAGAAAGTTTGTAAAGCTATCTTTCATTGTTTTACAGTATTAGCATTATGGAATATTAAAGCAAAATAATGCCAATGATAGTATTCAACGCATTTATAGGATTTAAGCCCAGGTCATTTGAAGAATTGTGATATTTGAATTAAGGCTAAGTTGACCTTTTTAAAATATGTACAATTATGTACGATATATTATGGTGCAATTATGATTTTACTAAACCTTCATTATGAAGTGTAATAATTAAGATCATACTTTTAGGGATCATTTCTGAAGTATGTCTTGCCGAGACGTCGAGTAAAATCGATCGGCACGTAAACCACGATGACGAGATTACGTCAGTTCCTCTGAGCGTGAAGTTGAGGCTGGCATGACTACTGCTCTCGTAGTCAGGCCGTGTCTCGTTGAGGATCGTTCCTTTCCTCCCTCAGTGGGGACAAGGAGGGGGAACTGGCAATCAGAGTGGTTTTCCTTTTACAATACAAATGACATGAATGGTAGTACAGTGGACTTTGCGCGCTATAAAAGGTGCTAGTCAGCTTAAGTAGAATCTATTAATCTAACGGGAAGAAACTGACATTTTTCGGCTGGTTTTGGAATTTTTATCAAATGATTTTTGTTTTGCCTCAGCACCTTTCATGTCCATTAAAGAACATATTTCCGTTTGGATTTTACTGAAAAACGTTGATTAAAGGCTTAAAATATGTAATTTTTCAGTTTCCACTGACTCTCTTGCTAAGGAAATTTTATAAGGCAACTTTGGTGGCCCTTTTCTCGCTAATTTTTTCTCTGAAACCACGCGACCCCCACCTCGTTCAATCGCCAGTGTCTTGACTTATAGTTATAGATCTACGAAAGATAAATGGATATACCTTCCATCGAAAGCAAGACAAACGGACAGGCTTTAAGGTGATACCAGTAACTCTGTATGCCCAAAATTTGACGAGCACCTGATACCACCGCATTGTGACACATGACTGATCTAAGTGTCTGGCGAGTGCCATTAATTTTTCCTACGCTTTTTAAAATAAGGAAAGAATATGGGAGATGACCCAAGATACGGCAAACTGTGGAGTTAGGTTGTTTGGAGTTTTTTTTGGTTGAAAAACCAGTCTTTCTTTTATTTTGAGCTTTGTTACTGTAGAAAAATGCATTTAATTTTCAAAAGTTTTAAAATACTGGGACTACAAAAATGCATTTGTGTGGTTTTTTTCTTACGAAAACGATTATGTTGCTACTGATTAGACAAAAGCCCATTTATGGAACTACTAAACTTTATTCAGAAAAAAGCAACTACCCCATAACGAATACACTGCAACAGGAAATAGTAGCTTCTGATCTGCAACTGAGGAATGTTATTGCAATTGTAGTTGAAAATATTTGAAGTGCACTTCGACACAATGTTGATCATTTTGGAGGCAGGCTGCCTGACTGTGGAACATGTACCTTATTTCAATGGTTGTCAAATTAGGGGTTCATTGCCACTTATGTGTGATTGGGAATCAAGCTGAGTTTTGTTGAACAATTCGTGTGCGAGGCTTTTACAAGTCTCAGCTAATACAAGATGAATTAATAATAGACTATCATCTTTATTGCATTGCTAGTGCTGTAAAACTCTTACTAAAGCAAACAAAAAAACCCCTAAAGAACCAACTCTCTCTAAAACAAAATAAAACTATTACTAAAAAAAACCCAACCCCCTTGCTGAAACAAAGTAAGACTTCTATTTACTATTTAACCCCCCCCTCGAAAAAACTCTCACTAAGTTAGTAAGACTACTAAAGGACATTTTCTCTTCTCCCTGACACAAGGTCCCCAGAACCAGGGTCTGCCTGTTATCAACATAGTTATTGTGTTCTTGTGTTGAAAGTGCTGTAAAACTCTTGCTAAAACAACAACAGCAAACTACATCTCCCCCTAAAACAACCCCCCAAAAATGTTACTAAACGAAATAAAACTCTTTAAAAAAAAACCCCTCTTACTGAAATAAAGAATAAACAGCTCCTACTAAAACAAAAAAAACCCAAAAAACTTTTACTGTAACAAAGACAAAAAAACGCTTACTTTAACTACAACAAAAAACCCCCCACCAAAAGTTCAATCTAAAACCACCCCCCCCCCCCCAATTAAAAAAAACATCCAAAAGAACAACACTTCCCCTCCCCCCCCTAAAAAAAAACTAACAAAAAAACAGCAGATGAAACTGCTACTAGATCTAACCCCTCCATCCAAAAACCAAAAACAAAACAAAACAACACAAAAAAACAAACCCAACCAAAATAAAAGAAAACTATTTAAAACTAAAGCGATTGTTTTTCTCATCCCCCCCACAGACACGGCCCCCAGAACCAGGGACTGCGGGTCATTATCATCTCCTCGGTGGTGTTTGCTGTGGCGGTCACTGTTGCCCTTATCCTCACCATCTACCTGGAGCCCAAGCAGGTCAGTCAGTCTCTCTGCCCCGGCTTGACCGGACAGGTGTTTTTTTTTTGTTTTAGTAGAGGTACGGCTCTCGCGACTGCATAATGAATAGCATAAGGTCATATATGAGTATGAGCGCCAAGGAGTGGATGTCAACAGAGAAGTCCTTGTAGGGAATCAGGCTTACTCTGCTCACCCCTCTAGCTTCAGTAGCACAAAGTCTGCTTCGACTATCAAGGCACCCTGAAAATAGCGGGTCACAAGAGTGTGACAAACATACAAAAGAAGTACAGGTAAAATGACGATAGTAAGGATTAGGAAAGAAAAAGCAGCAGTTCCCATGTTGCAGTTCAGGCAGAGTTATGAGCATGACATTGATGAATGAGCCCATTTTCAATTACAATTCTACTGTGCCTAGGAGCATGATTAATGTCCCCCTTTGGGAATGGCCTAAAGACACTTCAGTCTCTCTGCCCCGGCTCGACCGGAAGGGTGTGTCTGGTTTGTTGTTAGGAAGTGACTTTTCTCTCCAGACGGTGAAAATATCCTGTGTCTCGCTATTCTGATCCCCCTCAGGTGTGCTACATACTAGTACAGTAAAGCCTATAACACAGAAACATGCAGGACAGCACAGAGAATAACTTATGTTGTAGAGATAGGTTTCAGGTTTAGTTTATTTAATGGGCTGGGTGAAGCAGCCGTTTCACACCAAGAAAAGCATGGCAAACAACAGTGAAAAAAACCCAAAACCAATCAAACAAAAAAACCCCCCAAAAATCAAGACTACAAAAATAAGAATGAAATGTCAAGAGCAGAACGCATCTGATACCTACCAGTCCTCCCAATTATAGCCTAATTTGAAGAAAGCTATTTGATTTTTTAAAAAAGGAATTAAGGCTATAGCAACGGTAATCACTTGTTGGCCTAAATGAGGAAACAAGCGTCAAACACCCATGAGAGTCATTTCTCAATTGCATGCGGTAAGTCATCTAGGGCCTAGGTGATTTTATCGACCTGCGAGAGGCCAGGGGGGTAGTCATCTGTGGTTAAGTAAGAGTTTTACAGCTCTTTTGCAACACGATTAGGTTATATGAGTGCTGACAAAGAGTACCAGAATCGAGAAATCCATGAATGAAGGTCACTGCAACTATAAGGTTCTGACATGTTTTTAAAAAAAAATGTTAACCTTCAGTGAGTAAAAAAAAAAGTAATAGGGGATATACAGTGTTCACCAAAAACGTAAAAAGTTGACCTATTTTCACACTTGAATGCAGGCCTATGAAACATGGTCCAACAGACGTGAGAGTACTTTTTGAGACTCGCGTGTCGGCGTCTAGACAGTCCTAAGAGGAAATCTACTAGCTTTTACTGAAATGTGGATGCTGAGTAGAATCTAGTGTTTCTGTCTCAAAATGAGCAATGTGTAAGCTAGGTTATTGTAAATCACTAATTGTAGGGATCCTGTGTAAGTAATGAAAGGTTGGTGTTTAACATAAGGCCCAGATAGAGAAACTTTTTAATTGTATAGGTTCTAGATTTTTTTAAAAAATGTGTTCGTTTGATTGCTGGGCTACTGAAGTGCCATATAAAGTTATGTGCACAGTGGCAAATTAATAAATGAGCTAGAATTTTTTTTAAAACAGGGATAGATGGCAAAAGTGAACAAACTATTGACTCTTTGCCATTCACTTTATGACAAGTGCACTTAGTGAGGATGGCTTTGACAAAAAGAATTTTCTGTTTGCAATGATTCCTGCTTTGTAAACAAATATGGTAAACTATTTATTTTTTATGTTTCAATGTCTAGATATCTATGTATTTAAGTATTTTGTATCATATTTATGTACATGTATATATATTATTATGATATCATGTTACACATTTTGCGTCCTGAGTGCTTTCTTGGCGTATCTCCTTTATTTTAAACAATGAAAACAGTTCATAACAAAGAGTTAGCTTACAAAGTCACATTTTCAATGTTAAAAAAAATGGAGATATGACAAGAAAGCTATGAGGTCGCGAATTGTATACCAAATTTCCGTTCTGGATCATTAAAAAGTGGAATATTTGAAGTAAATTAAATAGACAAATAGAATTGATAGTTTTTTCTTCTTCTTAGAATTGTGTAAATTGTTGTGTGTTCAGGTCCACGGTCACGCAGCAGTAGCGTGTGATGACGTCCGCTGCTCCCGGGTCGGCCTACAGGTGCTCAGGGACGGCGGGAACTCGGTGGACGCTGCTGTGGCAGCTGCCTTCTGTCAGGGAGTGGTCAGCCCCGCCCACTCGGGCCTTGGAGGGTGAGTTCAGGCCTAGAAATACTGTCAGTTAGTAGTGAAGGGTGAGTTCATGCTAGAAAAAGTGTCGGAAAGTCTTGAAGGGTGAGTTCGGGACTAGAAAAAGTGTTAGAAAGTCTTGAAGAGTGAGTTCATGACTAGAAAAAGTGTCAGAGAGGAGTGAAGGGTGAGTTCATAACTAGAAAAAGTGGTAGAAAGTATTGAAGTGTAAGTTCTTGTTTAAAAAAACTGGTAGAAAGTCTTGAAGTTGAAGTCCATGCTGAGCAGCGCAACCAGGATGGGGGCGGAGAGGATGGCGGGACAACAAGAGTGGGACTCGTGCTCGTGAAGTGGCGTTGATATGACACTGTTCTGTTTCAGTTAGGGTTCAGCAAGCGCTTGCGAACTCGCAATTCTTTGAAGCTGACTGAATTGCGACACACTCAGATATGGCGAACACGATCCAGCTCTCAAACAGGGGAAACCACTGACATTAACTTTAATTAATTATGATTAACAAATGATTACCTCCCTTTGAAGTTTTCTAGTCACTTTATCAAACATTCATAAACACTGTTTAGCTTTGTGGCATTTCTCTTTCAAATTTCAGATATCATTATAGTTATTACTGTCTATATAAACAGGAGACTGTAGAAATGAAAAAAGTCTAAGATTTGTAAACAATATGTTATGGAAAAAATATGATAAAGGACTTTTTACAAGTAAATTACACTTAGTTAATTGCATTTCTTGAAAAAATAGAAGTTACTTCCCTTTTGTCATATAGATTGTTACTCTTACCTCCCCTGAAAAAAAAAATGCTTGAAATTATATAAATATGTGAATTCTGCAAAAACCTGGCCTGATAGATGAAAACTAACAACATATTTGGAATCAGCACATCAGTTTCCATAAGAATTGACTACATTCATTGCTAAGGCTTTTTTGTCGTTGAACAGTATTATTATTTGAAAAACGACTTTTTACTTATTAAAACTTTTTGTTTTGCTTGGACTCAAATAATGTTGGTGGATGGTTGGTGGGTCCAATGATGTGGTTTTACGTTTTATCCTTTCAGACAATGTAATAATAATGATAGTACTAATACTAATAATAGTAATAATAATGTGTACACTAATAATACTATAATAATGATAATAGTAATAACAATAATAATATTAATTATAATAATGATAATAATAATATTAATAGTAATAATAATTGCTATTATATTGTGCATTATACCCATGCTCTTCAGCATGCTCAATTATCTTTACAAATATTATCAACCTTGCTGACCACTGCACTCATCTACTTTCCTTATCTCATCTAATGTTACTTTCTAGAGACATTTCTTATCTTCAGTACTTATATAACCTAGTTAAAAGTGCCGTAAAACTCTAAAACTAAAAAAATAATGTTTCATATTTCAGGGGTGGATTCGCTTTAGTTCACGACCACAAGTTCAAGAAATCGAGCGCCTACGACTTCCGTGAAACAGCCCCAAATGGAATCACTCCAGACATGCTTTCGTCTGCTAGCGAAAGTGTGAGTAGATTTTTTATAGTCCATTTTCTAAAGTCATTTTTATCATTGATTTAACAATTATTTTTGTTTGTTTGTTTCAGTTTTTTATATATTTTTTTAAAACTTAAATTAATTTTTGCGACATCTTTTGTTTTAACGGATGTTTGTAGACTGTTTTATTATTGGTTTTGGTTGAGTGTATTTTTTAAAATATTTAATATTTGTTGTGTCCTTTGTGGTAGTGGATTTTATTGTTTTATCTTTTTTTGTCTCTGGTTCTTGTCTGTAATGGATATTTTTTTGTGTGTCTTCTTATTTTTTCTTCATTGGGTTTTGTTTGTTATAGGGTTGAGTTGGGCTCTTTAATTCAACGTTTGTGGGTAACTAACTGTGCACTGGTCACACGGGGGCTCTCGTGGCCTAGAGGTTAAGGTGTTCACCTCTCTTTCAATAGGTCCCGAGTTCGCATTGAGATAGCGACGGAAAATATTCTTCGCTAAAAATGTTCTCCTTTCTCATCCTTTCCTGCTCTGTAACAAATTTCTGTCGTCTGCTTTCGTCTCCACTTTCTGCCCCCTCCCCCTCACCTCCTTTGCCCCCTCTTCTTGGCTCCTGACTCTTTCTGCTGCTTTTCTATTGCTACTTCTTACCTCCTTCTACTGCTGTCTTTTAGCCACAGCCCTGATCATCTGGTAACAAAGATCTACACCTAGCCCTCTCAGACAAGGGCAAATAATATCGGAGGTCCCATGTGCAAGTTGCCTACGTTAAAGATTCCTTGGTGGTCCAAAATAGATAAGAGTAGGCTTTGGATGTCACCTGGGCAAAATTCAAAATTTCCTTCCAGTTGAAAATGTTTGGTGTTTCTCGCGTGCTAATACAACCTTATGCTGTTGCAAGTGCCATAAAACACTTACCAAATTTTTTTTTAACCCTCAAAAAATGGTAATATTCTTAAACCTTTTAGCCCTTGCCGTTGGTACAGCGGTGAGTGAAACCCTATATCCAGCCCGGCACGTCTGGTACAAAATGCACACGGAAAGTAACAGGATGTTATAGATGATTTTGAAGATCTTTTTGAAGTAGATGCTGATAATGATGAGGACTACCCTGAGTGGGATATGGAAAGTGATTCTGACGATCTTATAAATATTAATAATAATTATATCGCTCTAGGAGCTAAGGCTGAGGGGCACGGTAGCCTCAGGATGTCAGGCCTGAAAGGGTTAACACTTTGCAGTCACACAGCTAGCTGTACAAAATACCCCATCTGGTCCCCCAGCCAGGAGAGCGACTACAACAGATTTCACGGGCCTGTCGCAGAACTGCGCCAGGTGACAGGAACAGACAATTTTCAACGGCACATTATTGCGTCAAGTGACCGCAAAAGATTAAACGACAAAAAACGAACCCTTCACTAGCAGCCATTTGTTTTGTGATCAAGCAGACAGAAGAATGGAGAGACTCCTCGCATTGCATACTACTACTACTACTACTACTACTATTACTACTACTACTACTACTACTACTACTACTACTACTTCTACTACTACTACTACTACTACTACTACTACTACTACTACTACTACTACTACTCCTACTACTACTACTACTACTACTATATACTACTACTACTACTACTACTACTCTGTCATAAGCTGACAAAACACCTTTTTTAAATTCACAGCCGTTTCAAGGAAAAGGTTTTTTGTCAGCGTAACCATTGAAAAATAGAGTACTTCCGAAATGTGGCTTTGAATTTATTCAAAAACTGGTCAGTTTCACTTTGATTTTTTTACACAAGTAGGGTAACTGATCAGACTTTCGATTTAGAGATAAACAATTTTTTGGCGCCAATATGAAAGAAAAGGCGTTTTGTCAGCTTACAGCAGTACTATTACTTCATGGACTATCTAGTGAAATGTATGGAGAGATAGCCTGTTGCTCTACACACATACGTCTCACAGACACTGGTAAAGTAATAGAAGTGGGTGGTTGGCGGATGCTCTTGTGTGATCTGCTTTTTCTTTCCTATCAAACATCTGTTGTCCTTTCCTTATCTCTCCTTCTTTTTCGTGTTTGTTACTCTCTTGTTGTAACACCTCTGAATGTGTTGCAAGTGCCGTAAAACTCTATCTATAACAAAGACAAGGTAATGAAGTATTTCTGTCCAAATTTATGAATCAATCTGATGTTTCCAGATGAATGAGTTTTTTTTGGTTGTTTTTTTTGTTTTGTTTTGTTGGTTTTTTGGTTTTTTGGTGGGGTTTGCTTTTTTGGTCTTTTTTTTTTTTCATGGTCAATTCTTAAATAATTATAATTTGTATATAATTTGCATTTTGTATATTCCAGGACATTCTAACTACAGGAGTGCCTGGACAGTTGAAAGGTCTGGCAGCCATGCACCGTGCACACGGAAAGTGAGTAAACAGTTTAGCCATAACCCTAGACCCATGTGAAGACTACAGGGTGGGGGAGGGAGCGGGGGGAGACAACGTAACCACTGTGTTCACAGAAAGTCAGTACAAACAGTTTAGCTATTACCCCAGACCCATATGAAGACTACAGAGTGGGGGAGGGGGGACAACGTGTCATGCTTGTTTGGTATTTAAACAAATTAAATTAGACCACAGGAAGTATTTTTGACTCCACTATTTAAAATCTAAATTAGATGTAAGTTCAACAAAATTTCTAAGATTAGGAGAGTTGTGTTTGTGGTTGGCGGGTGCTCTGGTGTGGTTTGGTTCTTCTTTCCTATCAAACATCATCGTCCTTATCTCCCCTCCTTCTTTTTTATGTTTGTTACTCTGATGTAACACCTCTAATCTTCTGGTGCTCATACGAACTTATGCAGTTGAGAGCGCCGTAAAACATGTACTAAATCAAAGGAGATCTGTGTCTTATGGGAACGCTGAGGAAGTGAGGTCAGAAATTGGTTGGGAAGAGGGGTCCTTTTCTCATCTAGCTCTATCTATCTGAAACTCTCTCCCGAACCAGTGTAATGCATGTGTGAATATGACTTGCAATATGGAATTTGGGTCGTAGATTCTGAAACTAGTGTCAGATTTTCTCTATCAGGTCAAGAATCTTAAGGCGATATGTCGCAGATAAAAAGGAAATTTTCTCTTTAATTTTTTAAAGCCGAAATCCTCAAAATCTCGCTCACTATTTGGGCTTATAGGCATGTGACTATGATTTTCATATGAAATTTGGGTCATAGAATCCGAATCTTGTGTCAGATTTTCTCGATCAGGTTAGGATTTGTCAATATGTACGTTACATTTTTTTTTCTATTTGACTCTCTTAAACATAAACCCCTAAAATCTCACCCATGAGTCTCCAAAATCCAATTTTATGCTGTTAAGTTTAGTTCGTTATGTAACATCTCTTTCTAGAGTGAAATCATCATCTGTTCAAATGTGTCATCACATTTGTCTCTTTTAACACTTTACGGTCACTTAGCGCAATAATGGGCGTAGTTCTGCGCCAGACTTGAGAAGTCCGTTGCAGTCACTCTCCTGACTGGATGACCAGATGGGGTATTTTGCACTGCTGGCTGTGTGACTGCAAAGTGTTAATGTCAGGTCCTTACCTGCCTTATACTTAGCAACCTGCCTAGCACCTCACTCCTGCCTCCCCAGAAATGGGATATAATTTATACAGCGACTATACACAACTGATCAAAATCTGTAAATTCTTTGCCATATCGACTGGCTAGAACTCAGATGGCCGCTAGATCGGAAAAGTAAAAATAAAGTAATGTCAGGTCCAGCTAGAATGCCTTCTTTCAACTTAATTAGCACAACTGACACTTGGGAATTGCTGCTTTTGTCTAAACATTGTAGCAGCACATCAGAAAGACTCTGAAGATACTGGGGGTGGACTCTGGACACTCAAGAATCAATTCTCAACAAAATGACACAAGTTGACTTACATTAGCTTTAAGGGGGCTAGCGGGTTGGGTATAGGGCAGCGGGGACTGATTTTCACTCCCTCTAAGCACTGTTTACTGTTGGTATTTTCCGATCCCTCATTCAGTCTGGACTATATTGGCACTAGTCGCTGAGTGATTAACATTAACAGAATTCAATTTTTGGAGGTTCTACGTTGTGTACTAACATGTTCGATGTTTAATCTTGTTTTTCTGAAAACACATTTTTTCATCACTTTTTGCTTGCATATGCCGTTTTTTTTGGCTCCACCATTTTAAAAAATATTTTCCAACTTAGAGACTTGAAATTTGGCAAGTAGTTAAAGAAAAGGTTTTTATACTTGAAGTGGGCTGGTTAGTTTTTTGTATATTTTGCTTTAGAATTGTTTTACTATGTTTTTTTTTCATGCCCAAATTTTTTTTTAAAGATCAAATTCCATATCCCCAACTTTGAGAACAATTTTGGATACTTTCTTGGTGTAGTACCATTTCAAATTTCAGCCTGCTCCAAAGTGTATTTATTTGTGACATTTTGCAAGTTACAGAAATTTTAAAATTTAAAAACTGTAGAGATGGAGAAAAAAAAATGTTCTATCCAATTTTCAAAATGACCACCATTTCCATGGCAACAGTTTATGACACGTAATCGAGTGTTTCAACGTTCAACAATCGAACATGTATCTATTGTCTCTCTCATACTTACTAGGGGCCTATGTTATCCCGAAGGTATCGATTCCTCTTAATAAATGAATTTAAGACAATTACCTCCCTTTGAAGTTTCGAAGTGACTTGACTGCACAAGTTAAAAGATACTGTTTAGCTCGCATTCATTGTCTTTCGAATATCGGATTACGTAAATTTCTATCGCTGTTTATATTACTAATAAACTGTAGAAATGAAAGAAATCCTAATTTCGAAACAATGTGTCCTGAAAAATATGATATAGAACATTATGCAACTATAACAGACTTGTTTGATTTGCTTTCTGAAAATAATAAAAGTTACTTCCCTTGTTTAACAGAGTCTGATATTATTACCTCCCCTGACAAAAATCAAGAATCCTGAAATTTTATAAATATGTGATTTCGCCAATAACCTAATGATGATGATAATAATAATAATAATATTTTATTTTTCATCTTCACTATTATTATCAACATCACAATTTAACATAACATAATAAAGGGGGAAAAAATAACTGGGTTCGTGTAAAAAAAAGAAAGAAAGAAAAAAATTCCACATTGTCATATGATGGCCTGTCCTCAAAAGCTCTGCTTTGTAAAATTTTTGTGTGTGACATATTGCTCGTAGTTCTCTTTTTACAAAATAATATTGTGAAAATGAGTGGGAAGCAAGGAGTAGTCCTTTGTGGGAAGTTAATTTGTAAGGTAGCGTGGTGAAATCAGGCGCTCGTCAAAATAATAAAATGAAGGAACTGGCATTATCCCGACTGTTTGGCTATTTAAATTGAATTTTTATTTTTTGGCTCAATGTCTTTTATGTCAGTTTAAGAACGCATTTCTGTGTGGATTTCACTGAAAAACGTTGATTAAAGGGAAAAAAATGTAAGTTTTCAGTTACCACGGGCTCTCAAGCTATGGAAATGACGTAACTTTAGCGGGGATTTTCTAGCTAATTTAACCTCTTCCACCTCCTTCAATTGTGGATATCTTGACTTCTATTCAAGATAAATGGGTACTTTTTTTTCATGGAAGGCAAGACAAATGAACAAGCTTTTTAGATGATACCAATAACTCCACATGCCCTAAAACTGACAAACGCCTGATTCCACCGCGTCGTGACACATTTTATCAATCACCTATTATGTCTAGTTGGGGCTGTGGGAGCCCCCACATACAAATAAGCTTTGACAAACAAGCTCTACAGACTAGTTCTGAGGTGTGCTGACAAAATGAATTACTTTTTGCCATCCAAGAATGTAGATATTGCCGAAAATCGACACTGGGGTCAGGTTTAAAGATTTTTAATTGATTCCATTTTGTTCAAATCTATCGTGTCTTTTATTATTCCATACTTACAAATTGTACAAACACCACCTACAAAGATGATGTATCTGTTTCCATACGGCTAAAATCCGAAAGAAGTAACTCATTTTGTTAGCACACCTCACATTTGACTTTGCTTTCCTCTCTGAGTGGCTGGTTGGTGGGCACTATGGTGTGGTTCGCTCCTTTTTTCCCTTCTAACCTCTATCGTCCTTATCTGTCTTCTTTCTTTCTTTGTATCTTTTATTCTTTAGTAATATTATCTCTTCTTAACTTCAACACTTGCGTGACCTATTTATGTGGCAAGTGCTGCAGAATTCCTCTTACTAAAGCTAACATTTCTCTTGTGATATTTTTCATCTGGCAGACTCCCCTGGAAAGACGTGGTGGAACCGGCGATTACGCTGGCTGAGCAGTTCTATGTCTCTGAGGCACTTG